GATGAAAAATACAACTTTCCTCTAGTTCCTAAATGTTTCCTCCCCGCTCCCACTATCATGACACGAATTCTACCTTGCAAGTCTTGCTAGACCAGAGGATGTACACTGGAACTGGAAATACAGGGAATTCAGGGCGGATGATCCTTATAGTACCAGTGGTGTGAGTGGTGATACACGGAGGGTAGAGGGAGAGTGGGTAGGAAAGAGGGAACCAATTACAAGGAACTATATGTGACCTCCTCCATTGGGGACGGACAACTGAAAAGTGGGTGAAGGGAGACAGGCTTAAGTGGAGAGGAAATGTTTTGAGAATGATGAGGGCAATGAATGTACAAATGTGCTTTACACAATTGATGTATTTATGGAATGTGATAAGAGTTGTATGAGCCCCTAAAAAAATGATTTTTTTTTAAAATCACCAAGAGTCAAAGGGTTTCAGGAATCTTTCACTGACTGGGAAAACAGGTGCTAACTGATGCAGAAGGGCAGGGAGCACACTGAATGAACTTTGTTCTTTCTTCTCTCCTACAGGTACATGGCCATCATCCATCCGCTCCAGCCTCGCCTGTCAGCCAAGGCTACCAAGGTAGTCATCTGTGTTATCTGGGTGCTGGCTCTCCTGCTTGCCTTTCCCCAGGGCTACTACTCAACCACTGAGACCATGCCCAACAGAGTAGTGTGCATGATTGAATGGCCGGAGCATCCCCGAAAGATTTATGAGAAAGTGTGAGTAGTGATGCCTCTGAAATTGCTATGGGTGCTTTCCTGTGCTGCCTGGGTTACTTTGTTCTTTCTATGCCCTTTTCTCCATTAAGAGCCAATGTGTATGCTTTCTCGAACTGCCTACAGCTAATTTCACTATGGAATTAACCTACCATTTTATCCTCCTCTGGCTTCCCTATCAGGGGAGTGCCCCAGAAGTCTGATGGGTTGCCTGCTTTGGTATAGCACACCATGAACGGTGGGCAGAATTGCCTTGGCCAGGTAGATCACTAAGAAGGTTGGCCAGAGGTTCTGGCATCAGCATGCAACTTTGGCGAGTGTTGGCAGAGCTGCCTTAGGCCAAGTGAAGCACTGAGGTAGGTGGGAGGACATTCCTTAGCATGTGGGACAACAGAGGAAAAATAGGAACTTCCCCAGCCATACAGGCAGGAATTCCCCGGTAATTTATCCCCCGTGGAGGTTGGCTATCCCCAGCCTCGGCTGTGCTGCGCAGGGTGGAGCTAACCTAGCTGAGTAGGGGGCAGGTATAAATGCCCTAGGCTAAGGGGAGTTGTCTGGAAGTCGGCAATGGATTGTGAGAGAACAGGGAAGACACATAGAGGAGAAAGAAAAAACTAAGCCCACTGAGACTGTGGGGGTTAGAGAGAAGAGAGAGAAACAAAAGTAGCAATATAGCTGAGCCCCGATCACTGCCCTTGGGACTGCCGGGGTTTAATCCCTCCCCTAAAGTGGCAGAAAGCTGTGGCTGTGTTGAGATAAAGCCCCTGCACTGGTACCAAATGGTCCCAGCTCCAGCCGAGACAGTAGCAGGGCTAAGGTCCAACCCCAGATAGCCTCCACTGTGGTAAACCCAAAAGTCCCCAGCCCCTCAAAACCTTGTGGATCTGTGCCTATTTATCTTTATGATGCTCCTCCTGCAATCCAGCAGTGTTAAATTTTCCTCTTAGTAACTCCTGGGCTGATTTCTGTGGCGTCCCTCTTGTATGTGTTACTCAGTCGCCATCTTCCCTTCCTACCTTGTTAGTGATTTTTTTGCCCTCTTTAAGGTGCCCTGGTGGTGCTGTAGGGTAATCATTGGACAGATAACAGCACCATTCACAATTCAAACCACCAGCAGCTCCTCAGGAGAAGATAAGGCTGTTCCTAATGACTTAGAAAGTCTCAGAAAACCTATGAGTTGCAATCAACTTGATGGCAGTGGGTTTTGCTCTCTTTGTGTATTAAGTTCTTGAACTTAATACTTCCTTCATACATCCCACAACTCTTTTAATATTTGGTCACTACCACTGCATGTATGAAATCAGTCCCCGATAGAGTCTGTAAATCCTGATGGGATATATTTTAGTTCTCTGTCATAGATTCTCTACCTGTATTTGGTCATATTTGATTCTTTATCAAGTCATATTTTGTTCTTGTGGAATGGTTTCATTTTGTTCTGCTTCCAAATGAACTTATCACTAAACAATTGGCAGTCAGTTTCACAGTTGACCATTGGCCTTGTTCTGACTGATGATATTGATCTTCTCCATCACTGTTTCCACCGATGTAGTCTGTTTCCTTTCTTTGTATTCCATCTGGTAAGGTCCACATATATACTTGTCATTTATGTTGTTGAAGAGATATTTGTTTATTTTTTTAAATCATGTATTGGGGTCTCATACAACTCTTATCACAATCCATACATCCACCATTATGTCAAGCACAGTTGTACATTTGTTGCCATCATCATTCTCAAAATATTTGCTTTACACTTGAGCCCTTGGTATCAGCTCCTAATTTTTCCTCTCCCTCCCTGCTCCCCCTCCCTCATGAACCCTTGATAATTTATAAATTATTATTGTTTTGTCATATCTTACACTGTCTGGTGTCTCCCGTTACCCACATTTCTGTTTTCTATCCCCCAGGGAGGAGGTTATATGTAGATCCTTGTAATTGGTTTCCCCTTTCGACTGCACCCTCCCTCCACCCTCCAGGTATCGCCACTCTCACCACTGGTCCTAAAGGGATCATCTGTCCTGGATTCCCTGTGTTTCCAGTTCCTCTCTGTACCAGTGTCCATCCTCTGGTCTAGCCATATTTGTAAGGTAGAATTGAGATCATGATAGTGCGGTGGTGGGCCGGAGGACGGAAGCATTTAAGAAGTAGAAGAAAGTTGTATGTTTCATCGTTGCTACACTGCACCCTCACTGGCTCGTCTCCTCTCCGCGACCCTTCTGTAAAGGAATGTCCAGTTGCCTACAGATGGGTCTTGGGTCCCAAACTGTACTCCCCTATTCTCAATGATTTTATTTTTTGTTCTTTGATGCCTATTTCCTGATCCGTTCAATACCTCGTGATCACACATGCTGGTGTGCTTCTTCCATGTGGGCTTTGTTGAATGGCCGCTTGTTTACCTTTAAGCCTTTAAGACCCCAGGTGCTATATTTTTGGGGAGCTGGGAACCATCAGCCTTCTTCATCAGATTTGCTTATCCACCCATTTGTTTTCAGAGATCGTATTGGGAAGGTGAGTACACAATGATATGATTTTTTGTTCTCTGATGCTTGATACCTGATCCCTTCAAAACCTCGTGATAACACAGGCTAGTGTGCTTCTTTCATATGGGCTTTGTTGCTTCTGAGCTAGATGACTGCTTCAAGACTGTAAGACCCCAGAAGCTATATCTTTTGATAGCCGGGCACCATGAGCTTTCTTCACCACATTTGCTTATGCATCCAGTTGAGAAGACATATTGGTAATGAACATTGAACATGTCATTGATCTTTAGCTTTTTTATCATCTAATACCTAGTGTCATTTCTATCAACAAATTCATATTTTCTAACTATTGATCTTTCCTGTTTGATTCCAAATTTTACATTTGAAGTGCACGAAGTTGCCAATGCATTTTGATTGCATGTTTAACCAATTTCACACTGCAGTAATTGGTGTAATTCCTTTATTTCCTATCATTGGCTTAAGTGGTTGTTGCATAAAAATGAATAATATCAATATTAACTGATTTTCCTTAACACATAATGCCCAATATCAAGCAATTTCAGCTAACACCCAGGATATTGTTGTTTGATTACTTCCAATTTTGCTAGATTAATGTTTCATCCATTTCACATTTTTGTTATTAAGGTTCACAGCTGTTTTCAGCTGTTTCTTCTCATTTTGAGACATGTTTGCAGCTGTTATCATTTTGAGTCATCCCTCATCGACCAATGAACATCCCAATGTTTTGCTCCAACTACATCATTGACGTTGACTCTGCTTTGAGGAGGCAAGTCTTCCCCAGTCATCTTTTGAGCGTCTTTCACCCTGAGGGACACGCCTTCTGGTCCTGTATCAGACAATGTTTCACTCATATTTGTAGAGTTTTCTGTGACTAGCATTTCTGAAGTGGTCTTTCAATTCCTTTGCTCAAGTTAGTCTTAGCCTGGAAGTGCCACTGAAGCTCACCCGCTATTGATGATCCTGCTGTATTTGAAATACTGGCTGAATAGCTTTCAGCATAATGACCACACGGAAACCACCCTCGTCTGACAAATTGGTAGATGAGTGGTGGACCTTCCCTCCCCAGTAGCCCTCAGCAATGAGTGTTGGGCATTGGCATAGAAACCCTGTGGTTCTGCACCCCTTGGGTAGGACATTTCTGAGATGTGAACTTTGCACAGTCCCCAGTGTTGCCTCCTGAGATTACACTCCTGTAACCCTGGATGACACTCCCTTCCCTATAACCACTGTGCCATCCTCTATAGGTGTTTCTTTCTTCTTCCAAATAAGGGGCTTACACTGGACTCCTGGAGGAAACCGATCAAAGACACCTACCTTCCAGGACTTCCAGTTGTGGAATGCATGAGAGCATCGACTGGTGCATTGAGATTTTTATGAGTTAGAGGCCCCTCCTTACATACTTGGCTGGGGATTTTCAAAGCAGACCTTGCCATAAATTCTAAGACTTCTTAACCTGAAATGGCTCATTCATTGTTCTGTTCTGATCAAGTAAGCCGCAATTAGGACATCTTCATTAACGTCAGTTTTTCTAGCCTCAGAGTTCATGGATAATGTGGCACTTACAAAAGTCCTCTATAATTCTTCAATCTTAGATTTTTTTTTATGTGAAAGGAACAGAACCCAGTTGCTAGCATCAGAAGATTGGTGTTTTAATTACACTATTGCTGGTGTGCCCCTGGGCAAATATCAGAGCGACTCATACTCTCATTCCATCTTGTTAAGATGCAGACAAATAAAGCACTGCTTTCCACACACAATTGTTGTGAAGATTTAAAAAGATAATGTATTCTTACATTGCAAGCCATTAAATTCCTATGAGAGGTCACTTACTTTTACGGACCCAAATCTATCGAATGTTATCTAATCATGATAGACCTTTAAACTTACTAGATGTTAAAAGGATGTGTTACACTGGTCCACCCCCAAGATTAGAGGGTCTCAAAGCCTGTGGCGCACAGGGTTAGCGCGTTGCATTTGTCTCATGGACATGGTGCGTCAAACGTGCCTTGCCAGGAAGTACTACCTAATGCTCAAAAGACTTTGCCTTCCAGATGCAGACAGTGGGATGTAATTGATCGAGCAGCAGGGGGTTAATGCTCAAGTCAAGGGATATTGAATGCTTTTTCCCCTTTTGTTCACATGGAACTACAAGCCTCAGCAGAGTCTCAGTGGGAGAAACAGCACACCTTTACAGGCTGTCCAAGACCTGTGAACACGTTCAAGTCAAAGGTGTCCCCAAAAGACAATCAATAAATAAAACTTCTACGTGAAAGCTCATCTTATAAACTCCTTCACACTATGTGGACCCAGGTCAGGTCATAGTTCTTGGGATGCTTCCAAAGGGTGAATATCATTCTCTAATTTCCGTTTCAACATTCCCACCGTTTTTTCACCTCTTTCAGCAAATTCACAGTTTGACCTGGAAATGAAGACCTATTTCCCCATAAATCTCTGGGGTCTTTTCTAAGAAATAGGAGTGTTCAGAACTTTTGAACATTTTTTTCC